TGGCAAAACATCAGATTCATACAGAAGACGCAAAACCGATAAAGCACAAGCCTCACAGGGTAAGTGCTAAGGAACGAACCATCATAAAGGATCAAATAGACGAGATGCTTGAAGAAGGAATAATTAGAACATCTTCAAGTCCCTGGTCCTTTCCCGTTATATTGGTCAAAAAACGAGATGGCAAATACAGATTTTGTGTGGATTACAGGAAATTAAATGAAGTAACAGTGAAGGATGTTTATCCAATCCCAAGAATTGATTATGTAATGGATTCTCTCCAAGGATCCAAGTACTTCTCAGCAAGAGATCTCAAATCGGGATATTGGCAAGTCGAAATTGAAGAGAGAGACAAAGAGAAGACGGCTTTCACTACGGCACATGGGTTAATTGAATTCAACGTGATGCCTTTTGGACTTTGTAACGCGCCTGCTACCTTTGAGAGAAATATGGAGAATATGCTTGGAAACCTGAGATGGCAAATTTGTTTGTGTTATCTGGATGATGTTATTATATATAGCCCGGATTTTCCAACGCACCTCAAAAGACTCGAAGCTGTTTTTAGATGTTTTCGTGAATCTAATTTAAGATTAAACGACAAAAAATGCCGATTTGGTTTTGAAGAATTGGAGATTCTCGGCTATATAACGAGCAAACATGTTATAAAACCCGCGGAACATAACATCAAAGCTATCAGAAATTTTCCTCGGCCCACAAAGGTCAAAGAAGTACAATCATTTTTGGGAATGTGCTCATATTATAGAAAATTTATCAAAGATTTTTCAAAAATTGCTGACCCTTTGACCAACCTTATTAAAAAAAGTGTATCATTTACCTGGACAGAAAGGCAAGAGGAAGCGTTTCAAACCCTAAAAACAGCACTATTAAGTCCACCAATCTTAGGGCACTTCAATCCAAATGCGCCTACTTATATTCATACTGATGCGTCCAACATCGGCATAGGTGCAACTCTTGTCCAAGACATCGGTGGTGAAGAGAAGGTGATCTCATATTTGAGTCGTACCCTGAGTAAAGCGGAGCAAAATTATTCAACCACCGAAAAAGAATGTCTGGCCGTTGTCTGGTCAATGTCAAAATTACGACCCTACCTTTATGGAAGACACTTTAAAATAGTAACAGACCATCACGCCTTATGCTGGCTCAAAAACTTGAAAGATCCAACAGGTCGATTGGCAAGATGGGCATTGAAAATTCAAGAATATGACTTCGATATAATACATAAATCAGGAAAGAAGCATCTGGACGCCGATGGCTTATCTAGGGGACCCTTACCAGAAACTGATTGGGATGAGGATTTTGAAAGGCTATTTTTAAATCAAATAACAGATGAAGAGGATATATTTATCGAAAGTGTTAAGAAAAACCTTAATGGAAGCAGGCGATCAATTGCGCAAAACTTTAAAGAAGAAGATGGATGCCTCTTTAAGAAAAACCCGAACCCTGAGGGCAGGGCGTGGCTGCTTGTGGTTCCAGAGAAGAAAAAGAGAGAAATTATGAAAGAATATGACAATCATATGTCGAATGGCCATCTGGGCGTCGCCAGAACCATGTACCGTATAAAGAGTAAATACTTTTGGCCATCCATGCTAAAGGATGTCTCAGAATTCGTTAAGACGTGTCACCTTTGCCAAAGTAGGATAGGCTCAAACCAATTACCTTCTGGACTACTACAGCCCATCCCCCCAGCCAACTTTCCTTTCGAAAGAATTGGAATTGACTTTGTTGGTCCACTGCCATCTACGAAAAACAGGAAAAAATGGATAATCTTGCTAACGGACTACTACACTAGATATGCAGAAACAAGAGCAGTCTCGGAAGCAACAGTGAAAGAAGTTTCTAAATTTCTAGTAGAGGATATTTTTCTCCAGCACGGAGCCCCACAATATCTTATTAGTGACAGAGGCTCTCAATTTACCAGTAATTTAATGAAAGAGGTGATGAAAACGTGCAAGATTAAACATTGCTTCACAAAGGGGTTATCATCCCCAGACTAATGGATTGACAGAGCGGTTAAATAGAACATTGATCAATATGCTCAGTATGTATGTGAACACTGATCAGAAGAATTGGGACGAAATACTCCCATTCATCACTCACGCTTACAATACTACAATTCAGGAAACCACAGGATATTCTCCCTTTTTCCTGATGTTTGGAAGAGAACCCACGTCTCTTTTGGACGACAGGAATATCTCGGTAGACATTGACAAGGATGATTATGATGAATACATAAAACATCACTTAGACAAAATAAACAGAACAAGAAAATTAGTTATTAACAACACAATAAAGACTCAAGAAAGAATGAAAAAAAAATATGACAAGAAACACATGGAAAGAAGCTACGAACCAGGAGAATTAGTAGCAGTTTGGACACCAATTAGGAAAATAGGAAAGTGTGAGAAACTTCTGAGAAAATATTTTGGTCCATATAGAATATTAAAGAAGCTGTCCAACGTAAATTACTTAATTGAACCAAAAGATAATCCTGGCCAAGACCCATTGATTGTCCATGTCTCAAGAATCAAACCCTATTTTGAAAGAATTGATGAGGTCAATCACGAGGACGTGACGACCTCTGGAGAGGGGGAAGTGTTACATCATGATTAATGGCGTATTTCTTATATTATTTTTAATATATTTGAAATTTAAATTATATATATATTTATTTTTATATAAAATATTCTATGATATTTATTTAAAACAGATTATTTAGTTTATCATCATTTGTATTTAGGTACACGTGACTTCACTGCTCTCTTTGATGTGAGAAAATAAATAAAGTATTCTGGAGGCTACTTAAAGTAGACTTATGTCATTATTCCCTTATATAAATTTGTAGGATGGTTGAAACACGCTCTGGTAAGATGCAAGACCCAGCACAGGAGAGAATCAAGGCTGAAGAGTCTGCCAAGCCGCAACCTGGTGCAACAATACATCTGATAATTCCCATCTCACATCATTAGAGCTAGGTCAACGACACTTTTATTCCCGAGTACTCCAAGACAAAGGACCCCGGAGTTGAATTCGTCGAATACAACTTTATTTGGGTCAATGCTCCATCCTCACAATTTTTTCTATAACTATAAAAGATGGCTTCCCAGTCGTTTGGACCAATCAAGGCGATTCTTCATCTTCCATGATGTAATGAATGACCAATCAAAATCTCAATAGAGGTCACGTGACACCACCCGACTGGGGAAGCATCAGTAGCGTCTCCGAGTCTCATCCGCACTACACGCGTCTCCTGATCCAGCGTAAATCGCGGGGCGTAAGTTGAAATCTCCTCCTATGTTCTCAGTCTGTCAGCATCGATTCCCTTGACCAACCTATCCTGTGACCTCACTCCTGCCATCACGACTGCAAATCCACCCCAATCCAATCCCAACTTCCAGGTGACGGCACCTTCGCTGTCACAACTACCACAGAGTAAACAGAGAGTCGGCAAGATTCCACATATACATATAATATTTTATATAAATCATATGAATTTTAATTTTAAAAATTGCAAATAATTTTCAAATTTTGATTTATTAATATAGTGTCAGTTTAGCAACCTAAATCGAACATTCTATAATCATTAGTATGATTTAAGTGCTTGATTTAGATAATTCAACAATTAAAATTATAAAATATGAAAAAAAACTGGGAAACGAAAATATAAAGTATAAAAAATAGAACTAATGAATAATAGAAATAATAGTTCACGCTTCGGCAGTTACGTGTCATAAATGTGGAACATAGAAAAAAGGGGGTGGGTGAAGTGGTTAGATTTTATTAAAAAGGCTTAAGACAGAGCCATTATAATATTTATTCAAATAAATATGAAGGGTAAAGAACATTTAGAAGATTTTCAAAAGTGTATTTTGTATATTTTCTACTTTTAAAAATATGTTTTAGATTATAATAATATTTCCTAGTGCAAATTGTGGCGATAACATAGCTACAAGGTTTTTGTAAATTTTTAAATGGAAACCATAATAGTTCAACCGGGGCAGTAAAAGATTGGTACCAGGCAGGGTGTTGTCAAAGGTTAACCTGACGGCTGTTTAGATCCTTAGATTCACAGCTTTAACAATCTCTTAGACTTTGTATGGAATCAAAAAGGAGAAAATAAAAGATTTTGGAAATAAAGGTAAAGATAATAAATGTGTGTTGTGTTTGGCTGGTTTCAGGCTTGATATACCGATGCGAAGTCTCGGTAATTTGTCATATATAATGCTAAATCTCAATATTTTCTCAATATTAGCTTAATTGTCTTTTTTAGCATTTTATGATGAAACATGTTAACATTTAAGTGAGAGAAAAGTATTATTTTATTTCTCTCTTTATATATATATATACTAGCCGAATGACCCCGGCAACGCCCGGGTTTTACTCGATTAAATGCTTTTATTCAAATACTATTCGTTACAATTATAAATTGGCGCCATGGATGTCATTCTTGTGAAACGTCCCGCTCCAAACTTTGTGTCTGAGAAGCGATATTTTTATGAAGAGATGATCTGGCTTTGTGTCTTCTGTTAGAATTTTGTTCCTGCATACTAAAAATGAACTGGCTTCACCCGTGGTCTCTGCTTTTTGGAATTTTTCCGGATATAATTTTGTATCTGATAATCAAATAAGATACAGCAATATTGTCATCATCATTTTCTGAATAAAAAACTACTACTTTTTACCCAGAACCTGTCAATTTATTTTTCTTGACTAAAATTCCGAAAAATATACTTTCCAGATTTTTCTCTATGTCCTGTTAAAACACGTTTTACATGTCCATTAGGTCAGCTGATATTACCTCCCATCTTCAACCTTAGAGGCGCTGCTTGCGAGTGAAAGGGTAAATTTGCAACGCAATTTGCAAATAACTTGTATACATACATGTATACTTGTGTACATAGACCATAAATCTGTACATAGACAGGAAAAGCACATATATTTTAATAATATAAATGAGTTTAAAAATTGTAAAAAAAAAAAATAAATGCATCGGCCGGGAATCGAACCCGGGGCGAGCATTCTACCACAGAACCAAAAGTAAACGGTGACAGAATTGTGCATGACTCTGATACTTGTATATTTTAACTAGCCGAATGACCCGGGCAACGCCCGGGTTTTCCCGATTAAATGCTTTTATTCAAATACTATTCGTTACAATTATAAATTGGCGCGGTGGATGTCATTCTTGTATAATATATAAATAAGTTTTAACCACGCCCCCCGCGTGGCAGGCGAGCATTCTACCACTGAACCACCGATGGTTATGAGAAATGGCCATATTTGGGTATTTATTCCATTCACAAAGCCAACGGTGACAGAATTAAGAATTGTTGCTTGATTATGACGCTGATAACTGTATTAATTAATTGCTCAAATAATTTTGGACTTTCTATGGAACTGTTTATAATTTTATAAAACAAATGTACTATAGGTGAACTGTGTATATTAGACTTGGGATGATATATATATACGAAGTTCCGTTATTATGTTGCATTCATTGCAAAATACACTGTTGCACTTACTTAGCCAAATATTTTATTAATGTCTTTATTAATCTTCTTTTTCTTTCTTATCTCATCGCGTGGAGATTTGAAAACCATCATGACTGGGTGAAGCAAAAAGCGTCTGCCTTTGTCATTAAGATGGGGGAGCACTACTCAGTGGCAGGCCGACTTAGCTCCAAAAGAAACGGCTGCCTCTGACATGAGGAACAGACGCCATGTGCAGCCGCTCCTAACATGGAGTACAAACACTGCTCATTCTGTATTCCTGGATTCGGAGCCCTTACAGGGTACTATCAGCCGGGCCAGCTGAGCTCAGGTTTTATAGTGAGCTTGTTACTGCTCCCCCTCCTCCTTTTTCATCCGGGCTTGGGACCGGCAAAGGCGGAGTTGTATTTATTAATAATTGTATGAAATCATTTTTCCGGGTCAAACGGTGTATTGCCGGACTGAGAATCCTCTCGGTGCTCTTTACTGATGATCGCCCCAGAATATTTAAAACAGACGGATGGACATGCGAGATTTGCGGGACAAGAATGGAGCCGGGGCTACATCACCATATACTCTCATGTATGGGGCTGAAAGACGAACGAGAAGTGCTCCTCAGTGAAATAGGCCTTGAGGGACTCTCTTTGGAGCTCCTGTTGAATGAGGTAGTGAGAAACAGAGCTGGAGCGTCTGCGTTGTTCAAATTTTGGAAGACGGCTGAAGAGAAAAGAAAGCTATATACATAATCTAATTGATGTAAATAATCATATGTAAATAATCTTTGTCGGGATTAGAATGACGAATCCTGTATGGGACTTTGATTCCACTAAAAGGCTTGTTACTGCTGTTGTACATAGTCACAGTGTAGAAAATACTATACTATACCCCTACTAACTTATAGGTTTCTCTCTGTATTCTTAGTTCTCTTCTCTTCAATTACTCTGTAAACTGGCGAATCCTTTATAGGACGAGAGGTCCTCAATAAAGGCTTTTGTTGTTGTGTTGTTGTGTATGAAATCATTTTTACTCCTGTAGAAGGACAGAAATACTCGAAAGCTCGATTAAACGAAAAACCTTACAAGAAACTCTTACCCTCACGATTTTCTACTTTTTTAAAATTATATAATTATATGAACTCTTTTGAAATGTTTTATTTATATATATGATACTAGACGGGTGACCCGGGGTTCGCCCCGGGATTGACCCGTGTGCATATCTACCCGAGTGATATATATTTAGATAAGATTTTTTTTATAATTGTTTGTTATTAGCATTATCTATTTGTTTGCATCAGCATAATTCAATCTAATCTTTGATAGAGGGCGCTGTTCGTGAGCTAAGTAGAATAATTTAAATATATAGTTTTAATAATTGATTTATATATTTTTAAAATAGCATATCGTCTTCCCCGTATATTTTTACCTATGTATGGAAATTTTGGTTTGAATTAGTGAACTACTGCGAATTTGTATACCGGACATATACAAACAAACAAAAATACAAACATTGATTATATATATATAGAGATATTAGAGTTTAAAATATATATATGTGGCGACCACACTTTGCTTTAGCGAGCGCGAACTGGGACAAATCTTCACTACACATACGGGCAGTAGTGTGGCGACCTCACTACGCATGCGCGCGGGACGTCATCCGAGGATTTTGCTGGCCACTGGCGTCATAACAACAAGGCCTGCTCCCAACGGTCGTTACTTCAACCGTTACTTCTTTTCTCTTTATATATTTCTCTGGCTTTAAATAAATTAATTTTAATTATAATCTTATCAGCGACCTTTCCACAAGCCACACCAACACATCACGCAACCATCATCCCACATATATATCTATATCTATATATATATATAAATGAATGTTTGTATGTTTGTCTGTATGTCCCGTATACAAATTCGCAGTAGTTCACTAATTCAAACCAAAATTTCCATACATAGGTAAAAAACACGGGGAAGACGATAGGCTATTTTAAAAAATATATAAATCAATTATTAAAACTATATGTTTTTAGTCAGAAAATGATGATGACGATATTGCTGTATCATGTTTGATTATCAGATACAAAATTATATCGGGAAAAATTCCAAAAAGCAGAGACCACGGGTGAAACCAGTTCATTATTTTGTACGCAGGAACAAAATTCTAACAGAAAAAACATTCATTCGAGCAGAAAACAAAAGCCAGATCATCTTTCTATAAAAATATCGCTTCTCAGACACAAGGTTTGGAGCGGGACGTTTCACAAGAGTGACATCCACGGCGCCAATTTATAATTGTAACGAATAGTATTTGAATAAAAACATTTAATCGGGTAAAACCCGGGCGTTGCCCGGGTCATTCAGCTAGTATATTATAAAATAAAAGTTATACAAAAGATTTCAAATAAAAATTATTATTTTTAGATATTCTAATTTTAATTAGATTTAGTTTATGAATACAAATATAAATTGAGGAAAGGAAAAGGTTTTTGTCAATATTTCAAAGTAAAGGTGGTTGTTTTGTAATCGTAGTGTTCAAATCAATAATAATTTTAAAATATATATATTTATATTATATATCTTTAGTCTTCGTTCTATCAGTATATTGTTTATTTGTTGGGAATAGGTATCATTAAAATTCATTTAAGTAGATATTTGGTCAAATTCTAAATAATTTATTTTCTAATACTTCTCAGAATATGTAAACTATTTCATCAAGCCTAGCTCATATTTCATTGTGTAAATATAATATTAAGAAAATCAAATTTCATTTTTTGATGAAGGGTTTAAAACAGTTTAAGATAACTTAATTTGTTTATTGTTTTGTTATTATTCTTTTGTTTGTTTCCTCTGTAAATCTAATCTATAAATAACACTAATTTAACATGAATTATAAATCAATATCAATGTGGCCATATCCAAACCAATGATATGTCTGTGATGAACAATCAACAGTGTTGCTGACAATATCAAATTTAAGTATCTGGTATTAATAGTATTTTCCAGTACTTTTGTCCTACGGTCGTGACAGAAAATCTACCTAAACTCCGCAAATAACACAATAATCTGTGACAGTCTTTGTCACTTTATGTTTCTAATCTTTAATCTAAATCAATTTAGTATAAAATAAACTAAATTATTTGCTGATAATATGAATTAGAATAACTAATTAAATAAATATGTGGAGCTCACTCAATCAAATTAATCTATCTTCTATCTATATATATAAAATTGAATGTCTGTCTGTCTGTACTCTATAGATTCAAAAACCATACATCCAATCGCCGTGAAATTTTGGGATATTATTAGGTATATCACCGGGAAGGTCTTTGAAAAATAATTTCATGAATATCTTGAATATCCTTAGAGTTATTTGCAGATTTGCAGATTTAACTCGCAAGCAGCGCCCCCATTGTGACGATGATAACAAGTTTTCTTATCACTAAGTTTGTTATCTTAAATATTATTTATCAAAAGTAAGATTATCTCAGGATGACACGGCAATTTATTTGAGACAAGAATAATGATACAATTCCAAGGCGAAGATACTATTCCTTTAACTTCCAATTACCGAGGGAACCAATTAATATTGATTTTATTCAACTTATCGAGTATTTTTCAAGGGACCGGTAAAAAATGTTCACTAGATAAAACTATGATTTTCTAATGTAGAAAATTAGGAAAGACAAAATTCAGGATGACACGGCACACAGGGACCGGGAATAAATGTTCACTTTATCGAGAGATTCAAATTACGAGTTTCAAATTATCAAAATATATCTTTTTTTTTATAAGTTTTTAGAGAATTGTTTTAACAAATGTTCGCTAGACAAACCTTTACTCGGGTAAAACCCCGGGCGAAGCCGGGTACGTCCGCTAGTATATATATAAAATTGAATTTCTGTCTGTCTGTACTCTATAGATTCAAAAACCATACATCCAATCGCCGTGATATTTTGGGATATTATTAGGTAAATCGCCGGGAAGGTTTTTGAAAAATAATTTCTTGAATATCTTGAATATCCTTAGAGTTATTTTCAGATTTGTATATTTAACTCGCAAGCAGCGCCACCATTGCGACGATGATAACAAGTTTTTTTATCTATAAGTTTTATTATCACTAAGTTTATTATCTTAAAGCAAGCATGTCAAACTCTCGGCCCGCGGGCCTCATGCGGCCCACAACGAATGAATTTGCGGCCCACCAGACAATATATTTTAATAAATTTTCATATAAATTGAAAAAAAAATAATAAAAATTTGTAGCCTAATTTTTAAAAATTGTAATTATACATAATTTATTTATTAATAACGAACCACTGGTCGCCATACATAAGTCGTAAGTTTTGATAATATTATACATACATACATAATGTATGTACATCGCCATAAGTATTGTGTGCCTTATAGTTTAAAGAAAATATTCTTTCGAAGTACTAGAAAAAAAAATTAAGTTACGTTCAATAATATGCGCAGTTATTCTGTGTCTGGTAAGTTAAAAAATATAAATTTTAAAAAAATTTTAAAATATTAATTAAAACGTTTTATTATTTTGTGTTAGCGATTACTATTTTTTTTTCAGACCTTTGTATTCAATATGTCTTCATCAAAACCAATTGGCAGTAAAACTAAATGAAAAATTGCTGACGAACATAGGAATTTAAAAAAAAGTGGGAATTAGAGTATTTTTGCTCTGAAGTAAAAGATAAAATAATCTGCTTGATATGTAATAATGCTATTAGTGTACCAAAATTATATAACATTAAACGTCATTATGAA